AATAATGATAATGATTTTAATAATGATGTCAATAATAATGATAATAGTGCTAAAGATAATAGTAATAATAATCATCATCGTCATAACAATAATAACAATAATGATAAGAATATCATCACTGTTTTCATTATCCTTGATATTTTCATTATCGATATCATCATTATCATCATCATTACCATCACCATTATCATTATCATCACCATCATCATCACCATCATCATCATCATCATCATCATCATCATCATCACCATCATCATCATCACCATCATCACCATCATCATCATCATCATCATCATCATCATCATCCATCATCATCCATCATCATCATCATCACATCATCATCATCATCATCATCATCATCACATCATCATCCATCATCATCCATCATCATCATCACGCTTCATCCACCCTGGTCTGCACTTAACTCCCGGAAGAGGCAACAGATGGCGCCATACATAAGGGTGAAGCGGACCTTGGCTTTTCAATTTCGTAACTTTTGGTAGTATTATTATCAAAGATGTTTTATCGTTCTTCATGTTGTTGTTCTAAAATCACTGCTGCTGTTATTATTATTGTTCATAAAAATTGTTTTGTTATTATTTTCACCGTCATTATTACCGGTTCTATTATCACTATTCTTGTTATCATCATTATTTCTACTTTCTGATTTCTTTATTATCCTTGTTATTATTATCATTACTTTACTACCACTTTTATCATCATTACTGTTGTTTTTTTATCATCATTATCATTACCGTTATTACTGCCAATGTTATCATCATCATCATCATCATCATCACCATTCTTATGTCATCATCTTTACCATAACTATCGTCGCCAGCCTAAACTATCTCATTGTCTATTTTTCACGCAACAAAAATCGAAAATATACCCAAGTACTATTTAGTATGGATACCGGGATCCAGTGTTTTAGTCTAAAGTATGTTTATGCAAATCTGATGTGATCTGATCATCCTGATAATACCCGTAGTGTAGATCTACTGAATCCATTCTGGGTTGTGAATTGCCCTCAAGATACACCTTTGTCTTTCGTGTCAGTAATATATGTCGTAATGTAATATATCTATTCTACTATCTATAGCAATGACTACAATGTCTACGATTCTATCACTAGAATATAACATCCGCTGAGTGTCTCTTGCAAGCATATTTATACATGCTAATCTTGTTTACAACTTTGATACGAACTTCAAAACAAACGAAATTGTCAATGAAAAGGAACTATATAACTTCCTTTATATAAAAAAAAAATAACTTTCTCTTGTATAAAGAATCAAACAGGACGGATATTAGTACTACCAAAGTATAAGCTATTTATAGACCAGTAAGGCATCTCTGGAAGGGCTATAATTACCCATATCATTTCCACAACATAGTACTTAGACGATAATGATACATCTTTAAGTGAATCGAAGGTATTGGAAAGCCCTTAATATACCCTTAGTTCATCGATTCCCCACCAGGGGGAAAATTATCCTACGGAGATAGAAGATTTACATGACGGGGGTTAAATCTATAATGATATGGTTGGTCAAAGTGGCGGATCTTGCCTGGCGTCGTGTGTGTGGTGTACCTTAAAAATGGTTTACTCTTTGTTTTAAAGTGGACGAGTGTGACAATAAAATGTCCAACTTTCCCCCACTGAATTTTAAAAATAAAACAAGCAAACTATTTCTTGATAGTTATTTTGAATTGCTCTCCTAATTCTGACACTAAATTGATATAATACAATTTAGTGTCAGAGTTAGGAGAGCAGTTCAAAATAACTATCAAGAAATAGTTTGCTTGTTTTATTTTTAAAATTCAGTGGGGGAAAGTTGGACATTTTATTGTCACACTTGTCCACTTTAAAACAAAGAGTAAGTCACGCAATTACTATTTCCTAGCTCAGAGTTGCCAATTCGGCGACTTTTGGCGAACTTTGGCTTATCTTAGTCTCTCGTCTTCCTGAAGAATTTAGAAAAGTTGATGCTGGCTTCTGGGTCAAACTTGGATTCTCTCTTGCTCTTTACTCAACGTGTCTTTCAATTGCAAGTTCCATCTCCCAGCTTGGCTCTACGAGAATCGAGATGTTCTAGGCTCTATGTGAATCTTAGGCTCTATGTGAATCAGGTTGGCTCTACGAGAATCAAGATGTTTAGGCTCTATGTGGATCAAGTTACTTTAGGTTCTATGTAATCAACTCTCTTATGTGAATCAGGTTGCTCTAAGCTCTATGTGAATCAGGTTACTCTAGGCTCTATATGAACTGGATTCCTTTGCTCTAGGCTCTACGTAAATCACATTCCTTTACTCTAGAATCATTGAAGACAAAGGATAAGAATTGTCTGAAACAGATTTTTAAAAAATCCATTGACATAATCTTGAATCCATGGCTGGTTGACAATGACTCAGCAATTTATTGTATGTTTGTTATTTTGGTAAATAAACGGCCAGAGCATCACTAGATTTTTTTTCTAATGTTTATTTTGTGTACAACCTTAGGAACAAAAACATTTTTTTGTGCTTTTACTGACGGCTACGCAATATTATTTGTTCTTGGAGGAAATAAAACAAAACAAAAAATGTAATTCCTTTCTCAAAGATCATTTTACGCAAAACCTTGAACGTTCCGGGGAGTAAATGACATTGAAAAAGTTAAGGAACACCGACTTAGTTCACCAGGATGTTGTATCGTGACAGAACATCAAGAGGCTATGTTATAATGCTGATAGATAAATAGTCTATTTCTGCTGAAGGTTAATGTTACTTCTTCGTGCAATCCACAGAGAAGTCTTTTATATCACTACATGAAATAAAAGAAAAAGAAAATAAATATTTGGTACTTTTAAACTGACGCCACACACATACACGAAGAGAGAGAGAGACAGAGAGAGGTTGAGAGAGAGAGGGAGGGAGGAAGGGAGAGAAAGAGGGAGAGGGAGGGAGAGAGAGAGAGGGAGAGAGGGAGGAGAGAGGAGGTAGCTAGAGAGGGAGGGAGGAGAGAGAGAAATGGAGAGGAGAGAGAGAGAGAGAGATTGATTTATTTGATACATTTACTACGTCCAGTGAGAGACAGAGAGACAGACAAGACAGACACAGCCAGACAAATACCAATACCAAAGTTTGTGTCTGTGTGCTCTGCGAATTAGTCACAGCCAAAGAAATGCGAGGTTTCACACTCTCAAACACTTGCACCTTGGTCTCCGACAGCAAGGCCTTCCAAAATCATTTCGGAAACATTAAATGATTAGCCAATCCTTGTCTCTTGCTGATCGGACAAGGCTGTGGGATCGCCAAATCTTTCGATTTCTCGCAATGACTTTCATCTCCTATTTTCGTATAACCGTTAGTAGTTCCGACTTTTAAAGCAACGTGATATAACATCCTTTTTTATGATTCGTCATTGATTCCCCGCCTAGCTATCCGAAAAATCGAGAGAGAGAGAAAAAAAAGAATGCCAAAAGGCATATTTTCGTGTGACACTGACCGCCGCACGAACGCAAGAATGCATCTGAACAATTCTGGCCGGACACCTTACTTCCGAAGACGCCTTCTCATCGTACTACACACCCAGCATCCGCGCTTGTACCACATCCGAACGGAGATAATTTTTTTTTTCTCAAACATCATCCAAGATTCAGTCGGAGGATGACTCAGACTCCGGCGCCCGTGTCCGAATGAACTCCGGTGACCTTGGCCAGGGTTTCCCTATCCTGTGCTGAGCCTTATGACCGAGATTCCCCCTGAGTCAGCTGATTTTGTGTTGCAGAGGAATGACATGACTTTTCGAGATGCTTGTCATTGAACTATCAGTGGTATGTGCAAATTTCTTTTCAACGGAAGCTGACAGCTTAGTGAGAGATGCTAAATAATATGTATTGATGAGATAATACTTAAATCGTTGAGTTGATATGTGCCAATATATCCAATATATTATTAGAGTAGGAAACATATCCATGTACATTTATAAAAGCATGTTCGAATCTCAACCGCTTTTTTTACACCTGTTTGGAAACTTACCTTGGGTACAAGGTCTTACCCTTTGATTGAGCAATGCATGTAGTACGCACAGGGTTCTCTCTCTCTCTCTCTCTCTCTCTCTCTCTCTTCTCTCTCTCTCTCTCTCTCTCTCTCTCTCTCTCTCTCTCCTCTCTCTCTCTCTCTCTCTCTCTCTATCTCACTTTCTCCTCTCTCTCTCTCTCTCTCTCTCTCTCTCTCTCTCTCTCTCTCTCTCTCTCTCTCTCTCTCTCTCTCTCTCTCTCTCTCTCTCTCTCTCTCTCTCTCTCCTTCTCTCTCTTCTCTCTCTCCTTCTCTCTCTCCTTCTCTCTCTCCTTCTCTCTCTCTTCTCTCTCTCTCTCCTTTTTTTTTTTCCCTCTACTATAATCCGACTTGGACCCTTGTATGAGTAAGGAGGTAATATTCATTCTCCAATTCATCTTCTTCATTTTCTACCTGAGTAAGCATGGCTCAAGTTTTTTTTAATGATGACTCTCTCTATATACATCTGTCCATTCATTTATCTCTATCTCTATCTCTCCATGTATCTATTCATGTATCAATCAAGTCTGTCTATTCACCTGTTTCCGTTTTTTATTCTTCGTGTACTTCCTCTCTCTCTATCTATCTATTTCTATCTCTCTATCTTTCCCTCTCCCTCTCTTCCTCCCTTCTTCTCTCCCAACCTCCCTCCCTTCTTTCCTCCATCCCTCCTTCCCTCCTTCCCTTCATCCTTCCCTCTCTCCCTCCCTCCTCCCTCCATCTTTCCTCCTCCTTCCTCACTCCTCCTCCTTCCTTTCCTTCCTCCCTTCCTTCCTCCCTTCCTCCTTCCTTCCCTCCCCTCCCCCTCCCTCTACCCGCCTCCACCCCACCCCCTGCGTCCCCATCCCCCCCCCCCCAGCACGACCTTGCTTGAGGCACGCTAACCCAAGGTCAGACCAGCATCATGATACATCGTACTCCGCCGAGACTCGCTTCGCTCGTGTCCTCAGTCGGAACCATTATAAGGCGGGAAGGCTGTTGAACTTGCTAGTCTCGCAGTGAACCGCCAAGGAGGAAGGCTGGTCCGAGCTCTGTCGGCTCTTGGAGGATTCCCTTGGGTATCGTTCGTTTTCGTGTTTTCATATATTTTCGGACAGACTGAGAGAGAGAAATGCACACGCAGCCTTTACCTGAATTCATGCACGCGAGCATACATAAATTCATGCACACAGATACATACATGATGCATACATATATATATATATATACATGCATACATATATATATATATATATATATATATATATACATATACATATATATACTAGACTTATATATATAATATATATTTATAATACACACACACACACACACACACACATACACACATAAATATATATATAATATATATATATATATATATATATATATATATATATATATATATATACATACACACACACACACACACACACACACACACACACACACACACACACACACACCACACATATATATATATATATATATATAATATATATATATATATATATATACATATATGCATAGATGTTTGTAGGCCTATATATATATATGTGTGTATGTATGTGTGTGTATGCATATATATGTATATATATATATGTGTGTGTGTGAGCTCGCCTTTCGTATCTCTATTTATTAGGACATCTGTAAAGAACTTCCACGTGCACCATCCTCCAGCGTGGTCTCTCTTCATAAAGTATTTGATCTAGGCAGTGCCCAACCCCGATGAATTATGTAATAGTTATGTGCAGTGGATACCGACTCTTGGGATTTCTGCAACGGACTATCTAACGAAAACTCTTTTTTTATTTTCTTTTTCTTTTTCTTTTTCCTTTCCTTTTTTTTTCTTTTTCTTTTTCTTCGTCTCCATCTCCTCTTTCTTCTTCTTCTTCTTCTTCTTTTTCTTCTTTTTCTTCTTCTCCTTCTTCTCCTTCTTCCCCTTCTCCTTCTTCTTCTCCTTCTTCTTCTTTTTTCGTTTTAGGTTATGTCCTATTCGTGGTACATCCCACACGTTGGAGTCAGTGTCTTCAGAGCAAAGGGACCATGTTGATAAATGTTGCTCTTGTGAATTCTTTCTTTGTTCTGATAAGTATTGATTCGGTCTCGCGTGTGTGTGCGTGGGCGTTTGTGTGCGTTATAGAGTGATAGGTAATTCACACACAGATACATACACAGGCATCTATACGTGTGTGTGTGTGTGTGTGTGTGGTGTGGGTGTGGGTGTTGTGGTTGTGTCTGTGTTTGTCATGTGCTGTTTGTGTGTGTGTGTGTGTGTGTGTGTGCGTGTCTGTATGTGAATTGACGTATATATGTCTGCATACACAGACTTAACCCCATTTCCTACCAACAATCTATTTTTGGAACATGTAGGAAGTAACATTTAGAAGAAAAACTCCCTCCGTAATTTCTGCAAGATCTCCCTAACTCCGAGGAAGGGCGGGGTCATTTGAGAAACCGTTTTCCCACTATTAAAAATAATAACAAAATATAGAAACTAACGCTAGCTTTATCATGGACGCGGAGTGGCTAGGTAAAACTTTATTTTCTATTTTTTTCGTTTTCTTTTTTTCTTTTAAATACGTTTTATTTTCTGTCTCTATTTTATTTTCGATTGTCATTTTCTCTTCTCATTCGTTTTGTTCTTTCCCTTTATTATTATTTCCGTTGTGAAGTTTATACAAAAGAATATATATATATATATATATATATATATATATATATATATATATATATATATATATATATATATATATATCCGTATCCCCTGAGAGACAGTAGGTCGATAAACAGAATTCAATTCCTTTTAAATAAGTCTTTAATATGATTTGATTTCTTAGTTAAAAGCCACGAGAAAGTGCGTGACATTGACTTACATTTTTTCTTTAATTTTTTCTTATTTTTTCTTATCTTCTGTGGTAAGCATATCATACTTACCTAATATTTTTTTTTACTCTTTTTTATCAAGAATATTTTCATTTGAGCAAGAAGGGAAAAAACTGAGTTTCCTGGTATACGATACAGTTTTGAAATACTTACAGTTTGTATATCTTACATCTAGATTTAATATAATATAAGTTTTTGTAAATATAAGTGATAAGCGTGATTGTGTGTTTGTATATTCGCCTGTTTATGTTTTCATTTTGTGCGTGTGCAATAGTTATCAAATGCAAAGTTGAGAAATATTCCTTCCCATTATTTTGATATACAACGTCAAGTGATAATAATGCTACAAAAAAAACATAACCTTCGTCAAGGCTATGTTTTTGTAGCGTTGGTTAGTTAGTTTATTTGTTTGTTGGCTGGTTAGCAGGATAACACAGGAAGTTATGAAATTATTATTTTTTTTTTTTTTTTTTTACTAGAGGTGAGTTTCAGCGCAACTTAGATCCCTTTAAATCATGGTCCCGATTAAGATTTTTTTTAATTAGTTAATTTTTAAATTAGCATTAGTTCTCTATTACTATTATAATCATTACCTTTATTATTCACCTTGATTGATGTATGCCCTCTCTAGGTACTTCTAGTTTTAAATGGTATTAACACAAACCAGAATTGCCAAATTACAACGCTATAAGTACAGACCTACAGTAAGATACAATATTCACAAAGAAAAAAAAAACATATTAAACCACACAAACTCAAACAGAACCTTCTCGCTACAAATCATACAACCCTGAAATAAGAAAAAGAAAAGAAAAAAAAAACAAGAAAAACTATAAACATATAATTTAAAAAAAATAGAACTCCCACACTGCAACCACAGACCAAACAAACACCCTTTAATTAACCCCACCTGAAACCCAGCCTTATTATGATGCATCTCTTCCCCCCCCTCCTCCCCCCACCTCCACCCCTACCCTCCCTTCCTCCCCCCACCCCACCACCCTCCCTTCCTCCTCCTCCCCATCATGCCATCCTCCCTCCTCCTCCTCCTCCCCTCCACCCCACCACCCTCCCTTCCTCCTCCCCCACCACCACCATCCTCCCTTCCTCCTCCTCCCCTCCTCCCCCCCACCCCCCCACCCTCTCATCCTCCTCTTCCTCCTCCCCCCCCCCAAACCCTCGTCCTCCCTTCCCACGCATTACCAAGGGAAGGCAAGGAAGGGACGACCACCTTACGACCCCAGAAACCAGAGCGAACATGGCGCTGGTGCTGCTTTTCCTGGTACACTTGGCGACTGCAACGGCGAGCGGACTGGTTGGCTTCGGACAGCTTGACGGCTCGCCCTTTGACCAGCCGCACCTGCATCCTCACACCTTTCTGTTGACGGTAAACGGCGCCCGTATTCTCCTGTTGTTTAAGCACGTGTGTGTGGGAGCGAGAGAGAGAGAGAGAGAGAGAGAGAGAGAAAGAGAGGAGGAAGAGAGAGAGAGCGTGTGTGTGTGTGTGTGTGAGCGAGTGAGTGAGAGAGAGTGAGAGTGAGTGTGTGCGTAAGCTAGAGATAAAGAGAGAGAACGAGAAAGAGAAGAAGAAACTAAAAGAGAACGCGCAAAAGAGAGCGAGAGAGAGATCTAGAGAGACCACATACCTTTACCTCAGTTCTCGCATACCCAAAAACCCCGACGCACTTAAATACCAACCCACCCTTCGCACTGACTATACCTCTTATCCACATTTTATCCTAATCTCACTTCCTATTTTCTCTCCTCTATTCCTCCCCGATTCTCAGCCGCAACTGATCCGTGTTCGAGGTTATCCTTCAGAGATCCATCAAGTGATAACTGACGATGGATATATCCTCGAAATACACAGGATTCCCCACGGACGAAACGGAGGGTCGAGGAACCAGAATAGGATACTCCCTTCAGGTAAATTGCATAAATTAATGGTGAGGATGGTTTATAATGATGGTTTATAATGATGGTTTATAGGGTGGTTTATAGGGATGGTTAATAATGAGGATTTATAGGGTGGTTTATAATGATGGTTTATAATGAGGATTTATAGGGATGGTTTATTATGAGGATTTATAGGGATGGTTTACAGGGTGGTTTATAATGATGGTTAATAATGAGGATTTATAGGGTGGTTTATAATGAGGGCTTATAATGCAGGTTTAAAATGACGGTTTATAATGACGCTTTGTAATAATGATAATGATAATGATAATAATGATGACTATGAAGATGATAATAATACTAATGATGATAGTGATAAAGATAATAATAATAATAATAACAACAATGATAATAATAATAATAGTGATAATAACAATAATGGTAATGATAATAACAATAATAATAATAATGGTAATGATAATAATAATAATGATGGTAATAAAAATAAGAAATGTAATTATTGTTATAGTAATGAAAATACAAAAAAAAATGGTGATAATGATAATAATGATAATGATGATTTTAAAAGTAGTAGTAATAATAATAATGATAGCAAAAATAATAACGATAATGATAACAAAGATAATGATGATAATATTACTAATAATATAGATAATCAAAATAATATAATGACAATACTACTAACAATGATAATAAAAATAATAATATTGATAATGATAATGCCGATGATGATAATAACAAAAAATTATATTTGTCATCATAATAAGTATAACCATAATCATGATAATAATAATAATAATAATACTGATCATAATAATAATGATAATGATAATAACATCAATAATAATGGTAGTGATAATGATATTACAAATAAAAGTGATAATCATAATAACAGCAATAATAAGGAAAACAATAATAATGATAATAATAATGAGAAGAAGAAGAAGAAGAAAATAAGTATAAGATTAAGAATATTAATAGTAATAATAATAATAATAATAAATGATAATAACCATAAACATCATCATCATAATATCCATAATAACTATAATACTGATGATAATATCAATAAGATTAATGATAATGATAATAATAATAATAATAAAAACAATGATAATAATAATAAATATCAGTAATGATAATAATAATAAAAAATAATAATAATAAAAATAATAATAATAAATATCAATAATGATAATAATAATAATAATGATAATAATAATAATAAATAATAATTAATATAATAATAATAATCAATAATAATAATAATAAATATCAATAATGATAATAATAATGATAATAATAATAAATAAATATAATAATAATAAATATCAATAATACATAATAATAATATCAATAATAATAATCATAACAATGATGATAATAAATATCTAACGATAATAATGATCATAATAATAAGCTCCGACCTGACTGCAGGATGCTCCTTGTTTAGCATACAAACACTTTTTTTATGTGTCTTGGGATACAGGAAGTGAAGCAACCACTCAAGGATTCTTTGTTGTTTTTTGTTTGTGGATTTGTCACTTTTTTCTCTCTTTTTTTGTGATGCTTGTTTAAGGGGGATCTTTTTTGTGCTACTAGATAAGGGTAATGATCAAAAGAAGAACAGAATTCAGACTTATTCAACGATGGTTTGGGGAGCCGATGAATGAGCGAAAATATAAAGGAGTTTCCCCTTCGCATCGTTTTCCTATCGTGGTTCGTTTTCTGATTTAATCACTCCTCCTATTCTATTTTAATTCAAATATCTTTCTTCGCCCTTGCTTTAATTCCACATTGATTTCTCTGGTCATTCTGATATTATTTTTTTTCCTTTCAGCAAGAAACGGCAACGGGAGACGGGAAAATCGACGTGTGGCGTTTATCCAGCATTGTGTGTTGTGTTCCAGCGCGGATTTTGTGATGAACGATCCTGACCAGGCGCTAGGTAGGGCCATGTGCGTTAGTGCACGCGCGCGCGCGCGTGTGTGTGTGTGTGTTATTCCTTTGTTTTGACATTTTCTTCTATCTGATTTCTGCTGAGCGTTCGAGGTAGTACAAACATATGCATAATCTCTCTCTCTCTCTCTCTCTCTCTCTCTCTCTCTCTCTCTCTCTCTCTCTCTCTCTCTCTCTCTCTCTCTCTCTCTCTCTCTCTCTCTCTCTCCTCTCTCTCTCTTCTCTCTCTCTCTCTCTCTCTCTCTCTCACCCCTCTCTCTCCCTCTCGTATTTACTCATTCATTTATTCCCCAGCCTTCATACTGGCGGACGCGGGCTACGACGTGTGGCTAGGGAACGCGCGAGGAAACATCTACGGTCGACGCCACGTCCGCCTCTCACCCGAAGGATCTGAGTTTTGGGATTTCAGGTCAGTGTGAGAAAGGATCATGTGTTCTGGTACCATTCGTGAGGTATTTTGACGTGCGCTTTCCTATCAAAATGGAGTTATGGTATTAATGTTTGGGAGTTTAGAGTCGTGGTTCATTTTTTCCTTGTCCAAGATTGAGAGTATGATATGTCAAGGTATATTTATTACCATGATATGATATGTCAAGGTATATTTATTACCATGATATATGTCAAGGTATATTTATTACCATGATATGATATGTCAAGGTATATTTATTACCATGATATGATATGTCAAGGTATATTTATTACCATGATATGATATGTCAAGGTATGATTGTGATTACAAATGGGTTTTCGTTCTCGTTGATGTCTAGTGGTCTTCCATGTTCCCATACATTTTGTTCCTCTGTAACCCTTGGGCATTCTGACAGGTCCCTATGTACCCCTAAAAATTAAGGCTCAAATATTTTAAAGGCTATATTGATCATATTCGACTTTCAAGTCTGTATGAGTAAAATATATATGACTATTTATACAGATAATATTATCTTGTCTATCGCATATATTTGATTTTAAGAGTAAAAATTCACAAACGGTTTAGCAATATAACGAAAACTAAACAAAAATACCCGGCGGTTTAGTAACACGAAGTTGCAGTAATGAACCGAGTTTTTTCAAATAATATAGACTGCGGACCGCGGGACACAGGAACGCCAGAAACTATGTAATCTCTTCACGGTATGATTTTATTAAAAGTTTATTTATTGAAATGGGAAAACCAAGAGAAAAACAAAAAGGGATTCACCGTAGTTGTGATTAGAATACCATGAATTTGTACAGTAAGGATTATTCTTGTACATCTCAAAGTAGCCCCTCAAAAGTGCAAATTTACTCCTCTGGCCACATAAACCAAGGGTCGAACCTCTTCTCTAAAACCAATATGTAGCTTTTTAGTTGTCTAATGGAGTCTGGAGGTCACATTAAGGGAAAGGGTCTGATTCTATTTTTGGAAAAAAAAAAACACATGGGGTTTATTTTGATTACGTTACAAAAGTTACGGGATGCTTTGTCAATATGGTCGATCATTTTGGTCTCTTCAGTTTTTAAAAAGGATGAAAAATAGTGGTTTAAATGGTTATATTTCAATTGAATAATCATCAAAACAGACGCCATGACACCTCCTCGAGTTGCTACTGATCTAGCCTTTCCCGTCACACTAACTGTGCTAACGCAAAGTTCACCCATTCAGTATTACCAATGTATGAACCACTGTCTCGAGTCGTGTATCCGAACAACAAAGGTACGAGACAATTGCTTCGGTTATTAGAGTCGAAATTGGCGGTTCACACACTGGGTAACGGGAAAGGCGAGAGCAATAGCAACTCGAGGTGTCATGGCGTCTGATTCTATTTAAAATAAAAAACACATGGGGTTTATTTTGATAACGTTACAAAAATTATTGATGTTTTGTGAATATGGTCGATCAAGCACCAAACAGGCGCCATGACAGCTCCTCAAGTTACTATTGGTCTAGCCTTTCCCTACTGGGTAACCTTGAGACGTGAACTTGGATGCGGGGAAGACTTTATTTAGACCAAGGGCAATTAATCATAAGTCGTGAAATATGTACTAGAATCCCCTATAAAGTCAAATTAATGGTTCTCTCTTGGTTACCGAATAACCATTGCTTTATTTTGCATTATCATAATCAAAATCACAATTTCATTTCGTATTATCATTGTTGGATGCTACGCCAATAATCCCCACAACAGTATCACTATATTTGTAATTCCAATATTTGCGATAGAATATTAACACTAACGCCATTATTAGCATCCTTTTTACCATAACAAAACAGCAAGAGTTTGCCTTTATAATAATGTGACTGAGGACTTCCCTGCTTGGGCCTTTCCCGGCGTCCTTGTGGCTTTGGGTTTGGCTTTCCCATGATACTAACCGATCCTCTTAGTTTCTAATACTCGTGCACAAGGTTCGCAGTAGCAAATGCTATTTCTGTGCTTCTTTATTCTCTCGTACATACATAGACACATGTACGTGCTCTCGTATTTCAGTAAGTATACCGAATAAGTATAAGCATGTACAATATAGTAAACAAAGTTATACACATACACTTATATACATATATATACATAAATAACAGAGAGACAGGTAGATTGTTGCAAAGAGTCAGATATATATGT